GAGAAACTGTGGGGCAGGGAGATGGCACAGAGAGGCTGAGGGCAGAGCGATGGCACAGAGAGACTAGGGGCAGAGAGATTGCACAGAGAGGCTGAATGCAGGGAGATGGCACAGAGAGGCTGTGGGCAGAGCGATGGCACAGAGAGGCTGTGGGCAGAGAGATGGCACAGAGAAGCTGAGGGCAGAGAGATGGCACAGAGAGACTGGTGTCAGAGATATGGAACTGGAAGGTTATTTAAGGGCACAGATGGCTAATTGGCATGATACACACATTTTATGAATGTACTGCTTTTTGGCATGATATGCAGAGTTTATGTATTTATTGCTCATTGGTATGATATACCGAGTTTATGCATTTACTGCTTATTGTATAATACACCAAGTTTATGTTTATAATATTCATTGGCATGATATATCAAGTTTATGTATTTATTGCTCATTGGAATGATATACCAAGTTTAGGCATTGCTTGCTCATTGGCAGGATTACCAGTTTTATGCATTTAGGCAACTGGCATGATATACAAGGTTTAAACATTTAATGATATTTGGCACTATATGCATGGTTTATGCATTTAATGCATTAATAGCATTCCCATTGCTGGAAAATACAGAATTCCTTTTATTAAATTTCTGCCTGGTTGGGGAGATCTTCCATATTGATTAGTGATGTCCAAGTGTCAAGTGTGCAAGGCAATTACTCCCTGGCAGGGCCGCCATCAGAAATTTTGGGGCCCCTAACACAGCTCAAGGTCTGGGCCCCCCTTCAAGCCGGCTCACAGGGCCCGCCCACAGGAATACACACACACACACTAACAGATACAAATACTGAAACAGACATACACACATGCATAGGGAGATACTGACACATACACACACACACACACATATATATACATGCAGACATACATACTGACAAACATACATATACATACACATACTGCATACTGATATATACATACATAGTGACAGGCATACATACATACAGACACACACAGGCATGCATACATACACACATACATACACACATACACTGGCATACATACACTGGCATACATGGGCATACATACACACATACACTGGCATGCACACATGCACTGGCATGCATACATACACTGGCATACACGCATACACACACATACACTGGCATACACACACTGGCATAAACACACACTGGCATACATACATACACTGGCAGACACACATACACACACTGGCATACATACACTGGCATACATACACACACTGGCATACACGCATACACACACTGGCATAAACACACACTGGCATACATACACACACTGACATACACACACTGACATACACACACTGGCATACACACACTGACATACACACACACACAGGCATACACACACTGACATACATACACAAACTGGCATACACACATACACTGGCATACACACATTGGCATACATACACACACTGGCATACATACACTGGCATACATACACTGGCATACACGCATACACACACTGGCATACACACATACACTGGCATATGCACACTGGCATACATACACACACTGGCATACACGCATACCCACACTGGCATACACACACTGACATACACACTGGCATACACACACTGGCATACACACACACACACACACACACACACACACACACACACACACACACACACACACACACTGGCATACACACACATACACTGGCATACATACACACTGGCATACATACACACACTGGCATACACGCATACACACACTGGCATACACACACTGGCATACATATACACACTGGCATACACACTGGCATACACACACTGACATACACACACACACTGACATACACACACTGGCATACACACACTGGCATACACACTGGCATACACACACACACTGGCATACATACACACACTGACATACATACACTGGCATACACATACACACACTGACATACATACATACACCTCATCCCCAGCCACCCTCCTCTCTTCCTTACCATTTCGTCGCAGAAGGGTGGCTGGGATTGATGGGCATCGGCTGCCTCTCCTCATGCTGCGTCCTCCTTCCCGCGCGGAGTAAAGTGGGAGGAAGTGACCGGACGTCACTTCCTCCCAGCAGCACTTGCTTCCGGCTGCATTTTATTTTTTTTAAAGGGGCCCGGTCGCGCCATTACAGCGCTGATCGGGCCCCTGAAGATAATAGGGCCCATTTGGTGGCCCTAAATGCTTGGGCCACCTGATGGGCCCCATCAGCGTGTGGGCCCCGGTGCAGATGCACCGGCGGCAGTTCCGCTGATCCACGTGGGGCCTGGGCGGGCAGGCCCCCCAGAGCCGCCGGGCCCGTGACAATTGTCACGGTTGTTATGCCCTGATGGCGGCCCTGCTCCCTGGGCTGCTCTCTAACCACTTTGCAAATCTAAATGCCCAAGTCCATAGCACTTTAATTCTTTCTATTCGATTATCTTGTGCTTCGTCTATCAATGTGTGCTTGTGTGTTTGTGTCTATTGCTTATGTTAACGGGTGGGTTGGTAAAATTGCACTATAGGCCACTAAATTGTTTTTGCCCCCCAGACCACAAGTTTCCAGCCCTCCCCGAGAGCTGTCTATGATGTCAGTTCCAGTAATATTTTAGAATATTTTATTCCCTATGGCAGGGTCAAGCATTTTAAATTCCAGTTAGTGTTGATCATTTATATACAAAGATTATAAATAAAATGTTGCAATATAATGTTGCTGCACAAACTGCTTCAAAATAGAAAATAAATTGCTTTTAAACTAATGAGGAGACCTATTGCCCCCGCCGGCCCCCACCCCTGAGCAGCGGGTGGGGGCCCTAAATCAGAAAAGGGGGGGGGACCTATTGTCCTCCACCCCGGCCCCCACCCGTGAGTGGTGGGTGGGGGCCCTATATCAGAAAAACGGGTGGGGGGGGGACCTATTAACTAGTTATCTGAAAAAATTAAAATAAAAGCATTTGATGTCTTCTTTTTTCTAACATCTTTTTTCAGCCCCAAAAAAGGCCAAATAAAAATCCATAATAACCGACGCACTTTGAAAAAAAAAATAAAACCCTTAGCGCAAAAAAAAAGAATCCATCTTCACCCATGGAGGGCTCCACGCAGACTGAGCTCTGCAGGGCGGGGGAAGGCTTATAAAGCCTTGCCCCGCCCTGCAGTTAGGCTCAGAGCACTCTGGTTGGTTTAAGCCATCCAATCAGGGTGCTCTGACAGGTAAATGAAGAGACTGACAGGTAAGTCTCTACATTTACCTGTCACAGCACTCTGATTGGTTAGCTTGAAAACCAGCCAATCAGAGTGCTCTGTGTCATTTTACACAGTGTGGGAAAGTTCTTTGGAATTTTCCCATGCTATGTAATTTGACTCATAACAACACTCTGATTGATGGATTGAAAGTAACCAATCAGAGCGTTATGAGTAAAATTAATAGATCCCCCCCTTATTGGTATTTAGGGCCCCCACCCGCCACTCAGGGGTGGGGGTCGGGGGGAGGACAATAGGTCCCCCCTCCCTTATTCTAACTTAGGGCCCCCATCCACCGCTCAGGGGTGGGGGCTGGACAATAGGTCCCCCCCCTTTTCTTCTTTAGGGCCCCCCCCCCATTATTTTACTTTACCTGTGTGGGGGCCAGGGGGAGGACAATAGGTCCCCCTCATTATTTTACTTTAGGGCCCCCACCCGCCGCTCAGAGGTGGAGGCTGGGGGGAGGACAATAGGTCCCCCCCTTATTCTTCTTTAGGGCCCCCACCTGCATCTCAGGGGTGGGGAAACGTTTTTTTGTTTTGTTTTTTACAGCGAGCAGCCACAGGCTGTTTACTAGATATGCCCCTACTCGCGTTATAGCGAGTATGGGCATAATTTACTAATACTAAGTAATTTTTACTTAGTATTAGTAAATTTGTCTCAAAGACCAATTTAGGTGTTTCAGCCTTTTAGTAGATAGCTCCCTAATACCGTGGGAATTAGCGAGTTATCTACTTATTCATTCCTGTCATTCCATTGACAGGCTAAGTAACTTACATTTTAAATGAATGTGTGTTACTTGATTGTTGTAAGTGTTGCAAATGCTTACAGCTGAATCCTGGCTATGTTTGTATACTTTTTATTTAAACTTGTATACAGTGTAACATTCTTCATTCTTCCACTGGGTATGTATATTAGTACTTCGGCAATACTGTGCTTCGGAACTTAGGCACTTCGGCAACTTCGGCACTTTGGAACTTCGACACTTCGGCAATTTCAGAACTTTGGCAATTCAGTTATTCAGACATTCGGAAGTATCCGAATGTCCGAATTGCCCAAAATTCGTCCGAATTCACAATCGGAATGAAACAAATTGCACATGTCTAATTTCTAAATACATTGTGCAGAGCTGGTCCAAGGCCTCTTGTTTACCATGCAGAACTACATTTTGCTACATCACTGCAAATCTGGAAGTACATGTAAGTTTATATAGTATAATACCATTTGTAGATAAAAACAGAGCATCCATATGATGAAATTGTGTTCTTAGTTGACGTTTGCAACTTGCAACTGGTATATCTAGCATCATAGGCGTGCGCACGGGGTGTGCCGGGTGTGTCTGGGCACACCCTAATCCCCGTGGCACGCCTATGGTTTGAGTCCTGCAGGAACAGCGTTCCTGCAGGCACTCAGTGCCCCCTGTTTCACCTCTTGCCCCTGTCATGGGAGGGCAAGAGGTGATGGATTCCCCACCCGTTCAGCGCGCGGCGAGGGAGCTCTCTGCTGTCTGCTCCCTCTCGCCGCGCGCTGATGCCGGGAGCCGGGATATGACGTCATATTCCGGCTCCCAGCTGCAGCAGACAGCCCGCGCGGCGAGAGGGAGCAGACAGCAGAGAGCTCCCTCGCCGCGGCTGAACTGCGGAAAGGCGCCCGCCCCCACTGGACCCCAGGGAAAAGTCCACCAGCACTCCAGGTAGGAGGCTGGGTGGACATTTTTTTTTTTAAATTAAAATATAATAATTTGTGTGTGTGTGTGTCAGTGTGTCTGTGAGTGTGTGAGTATGTGTCAGTGTGAGTGTGTGAGTGTGTGTCTGTGAGTGTGTGAGTATGTGTCAGTGTGAGTGTGTGTCTGTGAGTATGTGTCAGTGTGAGTGTGTGTCTGTGAGTATGTGTCAGTGTGAGTGTGTGTCTGTGAGTGTGTGAGTATGTGTCAGTGTGAGTGTGTGTCTGTGAGTGTGTGAGTATGTGTCAGTTTGAGTGTGTGTCTGTGAGTGTGTGAGTATGTGTCAGTGTGTGTTTCTGTGAGTGTGTGAGTATGTGTCAGTGTGTCTGAGTGTGTGTCTGTGAGTGTGTGTGTCAGTGTGTGTCTGTGAGTGTATGAGTGTCTGTGAGTGTGTGTGTGTGTCTGTGAGTGTGTGTGTGTGTGTGTGCCTGTGAGTGTGTGTGTGCCTGTGAGTGTGTGTGTGTCTGTGAGAGTGTGTGTGTGTGTGTATATATATGTGTGTGTGTATGTGTATATATATATATATATATATACACACACACACACACACACACACGCGCGGCGTGTGTTTGTGCTTTAGGGTGCACACCCTAATGCAATAGGCTGCGCACGCCTATGTCTAGCATACAGAAATAAATTGAGTGTTTACCCCCAGTGTTTAGCTTTATGCAACACATATTGTGCCAACAAGCAATGGACATCTCATGGCAAAGACTGAATAAATTTAATTTATACAGTGACTGTTAAAAACAAACAAACGTGAATTAGCCATGGGCTCAAACTCCCTGCGTGGCTCATTTATGTATTTTCAAATGTTACTGTAACACAGACTACTTACAGGTCAGCCCTCTACCCTGTGTGCTGTGGAGCTGACAGCAGCCAAAGTAAGTGTTAGTCTAGGTCTTACCTGTGAGGTTGTACAATTATACTAAAAAGCACTGTTAGGATGGTGTGCAGGTAAATTTTCTTGCTTTGTTTTGTTCCGATATTTGCTATTGAATTCGGTAGCACAATATATTGATTGAATTGTACCGTATATAACTGATGTTCATACAAACAACCACATATGGATAATAGATCAATAATAATATATATGCCTGGTATCAGACATGATCCCACTTGTACACCTGGACACTATCGGCAGCTGCCTAGTCATCTCCAAGTGAGGTGAGCCAAAACATTTTCATAGTCTTTTGCATATTTCAATGAATAAGAGACTGAAAGATTAATTTTGTGTCTTAATCTTTGCCACAACTTTTTTTTTTCCTCTAACAATCTAATATTAATACATTTACCTTTTTTAGTCTGTAGAAAGCAACCTTTGCCAGCGGGTGAAGGCGGCTTCTCCATGCCCATAGGAATGATGCACTGCCTGGTAACTAGCCATGGATGGATCAAGAATCCTGCTGAAGATAGATACAGATACAAATGTGGAGCTGTGACCTGAGTAACTTATGGTTTCTGACAGATATTGATTGAGTAAGAGTTTCAACCATGTAGGGTTCTAGGCTAGTTAAAGGGACTCTGTAGACACTGTAACTGCTTAATCTCATTGGAGTAGTAAAAGCAGGGGTGCTCAAAAGGTAGATCCCCAGATGTTTTAAACTACAGCTTCCATGATGCTTTACCGTTCTAAAAGTATGCAGAGCACCATGGGAGCTGTAGTTCTTCAACATCTGTCGATCTACCTTTTGGGCTACTTTGAGTTTCTGGAGTTCCCTGGCACAGTGTTAATGCTAAACTAGAGTCATCAGCTGCCCGTCTGTACTACTTTGGCTAATATGAAAGCAACAGACTGAACAGTAATGGGTGGCTGTGATTAGCTTAAAGTGACAGCTGTACTGTTTTTACTTCATCCAGTGAACAGCCTGATGTCCTTCAAGTTTTTCCAGTACTTTTGATTTATAGTAAATATTGCAATGGCTCAAAGCAGTTCAAGAAAAAAAAATCTATTGGCAGTGATAATTCCTACACATAAGTTTTTTTCCTATAGAGAAGGGAAGGGAAGTGTTTACCTTTTGTATCTAACAATATAAAAGCATTTGGCAGTTACCCTCCCCCTGATTAATGGCAGCCTGGTGAATCTATTGAGTGTAACTGAGCGTGTCTAAATTGTGGGCCGTTTGTGCAACATTTCTCATCTGATTATATATCTCAGTCATACCCGATGTGCTCCTAAATGGAGTTTCTGTATTACCCATTTAGTTTCTTAAGGGGAGGTCTGAGACTGTATTTTCTAGTAGAGAGGCATGTCTCTCATCTGGAGAGCAGGGTCAAATGAGGCATGCAGTAAATTCCATTCTCAGCAGACTGCTTATAACTTAACACACCAATATGGTTCAGCGAAAAAACAGAGAGAAAAATATTCAAGAAGTTTTACAAACAAACTTTCAAGACTATTTTAGAACACCTATCTCATGTTAAATATATGGGGATTTAATTACCACTATATGGTTATATTGCATTTAAGTCCAGCTTCCTCCAATATCAACATTTTCTACTTTTATTGTACATAGGTTTCATATTAAACTGTTCAATTACATAATTGTATTATATAATATGAAAATGTAAGACATAGCCTTAATATTAATACCTAAAACTTAGTCCAGCACTTATTTTGCTCCAAAACTTCTTGGTTGTGAGTGACACTTGTCCTAGTGCTCCCCACTTGGATTTACCACCAGTTACAGTTTACAGCTTGCAGGGCTGATCTTGGGGTTACAATGTGCTGGTTAACTCTACTTGAGCTGCCTGTAAGGTTTCTCGTAAGCAGACTGGAGAGAAAAGCAGGCCAGAGTGTACCCTTAGTCTGCTGCTATAAGATGCAATGTGGGTACAAGGATGGTGAGATTGGGGAGCAGGGAGAGACAACTCATGCTTCTAGAGGCCAAAGGAAATGTCTAGCTTAGTAGTAGGAGAATGAGATTGCTGGCCTTATAGTGGTGGGGGAGGAATTGGGGTATCCAGGACTGCGTCACCAACCATTTTCTGCTATTCCAAGGTGGTAACAGGATGAGATATTATTCCTGATGCATATTCCACTCTGGACTGGAATACCCAGATTTTGATGATCTCATTCAAAGCTAATATAATATTCTCTGTTGTTAGTCTCACAGAAATCAAACTATTTTCCCATGTATATGTTATAGCCCCATCTGCCACCAAAGGAAAACTGGCACACTGGCATGGGTATATAGGAAAACCCACCCTCTTGACTCATGTTGGGTGGGGACTGGAAGTAGAGAGGGACACTGGCATATTTTTTCCCTTACCCAATACATATATTCTAGACCACCCACCTCATTTGGTGGGTTTAAAGAAAGGGGATCCTGGCATGTCATTTTCCTGCCACTGTTAATGTCTTGTTTTAACCTCTACCTATCATTTATAGTGGTTAAAAGTTTAGTGAGGAAAATGACACTGTAATTTTATTCTCCATGACTATTTACGTATTCTTCTAGACCCCTCAAATGGTAAGTGGAGGGGTATACATGTATAACATACCCCCTTGTCCAGTTTATGTCTTATAATGATGTGCCTGTTACAGAGGGGGACACTTGCTGACCTTCCCCCTCCGTCATGTAGATCATCTTATAGCCTCCACGCATCACCTATACATATTTTTTAAATGCCATATACCATATTTTAGCAGGTAAATATGTATATAAAAATACCTGCCCTACAGCTAGTGATCCTCTTTGTGTGTGGGTATCCAATTGTAAAACTCTAAGGCCCCAATCACATGGCTTTTACAAGGTGTCATCCCTAATATCTTCATTAGGCCTACTCATCACCAATTTGCTTACAATTAATTTTACTTAGGTCCTTCAGGCAAGATTTAATCGTAACACAAATACTTAAAAAAATATATAAATTAAATAAAAATATTAGTGAAACACAATTCAAAATAAACTAATATAAAATAATCAATAAATTAAATACAATAGGTGAACCAACTTCCAAAAATAAATAATTATTAAATTATAATCAAGAAAGTAACAGAATTAAAGGAATAATAAATAAACACTGGCCTATATTACGCAATGACCCCATGTTATACTCCATACTACCGGAGAAACCTAAACTTGTATATAGGGGAGCTCCTAATTTAAAACAAAAATTAGTCCACAACCATATAAAGAATAATGTATCCACTCCTTTCTTTCAAAAAGAGGGTTTTTTTGGATGCGGACAGTGTTTGGCTTGTAGGAATACAAAAAGTGTCAAAAGACATATAACTGAATTTTATGACCCAAAAGGGGTAACTAAATATAAAATACAACAAATGATTACATGTTTTTCGAAAAGAGTCATTTATTTGTTGAAATGTCCATGTAATCTTTTTTATGTAGGTAGGACAAAGCGCCCTCTACAGACAAGGATAAATGAACATATCCGAAACATAAAAAAAGGTTTTGATAAACATAGTGTTTCGGAACATTTTAATTTAGTACACAATAGAGACCCTCAACACTTAGAATTTATGGCGATTCAAAGGGTCATGCTAAACTGGCGAGGGGAGGATGAAATAAGAAAATTGGGGAGAATCGAGACCAAGTGGATTTTCAATCTAAACACTTTGGCTCCGTTTGGATTGAATGCGGATTTTGAATTGTGTCATTTTTTATAGTTCAATATTTTCCAATTTTTTTTATTTTTTTTTATTTATTTTTTTTCACTATAAAACAACTACACATTAGTTTAACTATTAGAAATATTAAAGAAAACACAATATTTGCACAATTTCAATCTAATACAATTACACATTTGCACATATTCTAATTCAATGCATTTATTTGCATGCACAAATAAGTGTATGGTGAATAATAATATGTTGGTATATTATATATTTTTTCACTATAGAAAATTATACATTAGTTTAACTATTAGATACATTAAAGAAAACACAAAGTTTGCACAATTTTAATCTAATACAATTACACATTTGCACATATTCTAATTCAATGCATTTATTTACATGCACAAATAAGTATATGGACAACATGTTGATATATTATATATAACTTTTTTTTTTTTCATAAATTTTTGGGATTCTTCCATCTTTTTTCTGCATTGAAGAACATCATTTTATTAGACTAAATGATTCATAAAATATCAATTATCATTAAATTAGATTGAAAATCCATTAATTGATTTGCACTGACTCAAATGAACACACTTGCACATTTGCACATATTCTTTTTGATTGTATTTGTTTATATGTTGAAATATACATA